TTTACATACTTCAAATGTGAATTTTAGAAAAGATGAGTGAGTGGGGAACATATCCGTCACTGACAAGTAGATCTGTATGTAATACACACCCGGGGCGGGGGCATTTAGTAACCTCGCAGTGGCGGCTCTCGTTTGACGTTTATGTGCGTGTGAAGAGGGGAGACATGGAGACTGTCAACTCCTGCTGAATCAGGCACCGGCGTCTTGAATGACAGAATGTGTGTATTTGTGTCCATATGCATGTGTGTGTAGGGTGGACAGCGTCCTGAAGCAGATGTCGGAGATTCGCGATCACGATCGTAGGTTGAGAAAGCTGGAGTCGGAGGTTAGTGATGACTATGCACACCTGTCTACCTGTGGCCATCGAACACATTGACACCTGTTTTTAAATCCCAGCAGCGTCCCACAGAGAGCACGCATGCGTCTGTGGGTGCAAGACTAAGAGTCTTGTCTTATTTTAGCCGCAGCTGTTGTGTTTGCTTGCTCAGCACAGACCAAGGCCCATCCGTCATTCTCCCTATCACTGTATGAGCCCTTAGAATGTAGATCCGCTTTGAGAATCTGCCAAGCTGTCAGCCGATCAATGTAATTAAAGGGGTCATATGATGCGATTTCAATTTTTCCTTTCTCTTTGGAATGTTACAAGCTCTTGGTTCATAAAGAAGATCTGTAAAGTTGCAAAGACTAAAGTCTCAAATCCAAAGAGATATTCTTTATAAAAGTTAAGAGTCAACCACGCCTACCTAAAACGCCTTGTTTAAATGCCCCCACATGTCTACGTCACGATGTGGGAAGATTTGCATAACACCGCCCAAATGTTCACACAAAGAAAGAAGGCCTAACTTTTATTCTCGCTGTAGTATTGTTGTTGCCGCCGCCATGTCGTGAAGACGCTATGTGTTTCGTTGTGAAAGCGAAACTACTTTGTTTTGCCTTCCAAAAGAGGACAATATCCGCTTCGTCATGCCTAGAGCCTAGAGCTGATCCGTGCTGGTTGCTGAGGAAATACATCAACT